GGCCTGCTTGCAAGGTTGGCACTTGGCTGGTATGTGGGAACTTGGTGTCCCTCTGTTCCCTAACTGGTGAATAGTTCACTTTGCCTAGTTTGTTGGTACAAATAATGTGATTTATGCTGAACACCTGCTTTCCTTCTGAGAGTCTGGAATTTTGTTATGTGCCTCTAGGACCAGCCCCCAATGAAAACCTTGGACACCAAATCTCTAAAGGTCTTCCCAGGCCAGAAACTCATATACCTGTTGCTGCATTTTTTTTTGTTGCTGCAGAAATGAGCATACTCAACTAAGCCCCCTCATAATAGGGAGAGTGCATAAAAAAGTATGTGCATGAATTTCTCTAGACTCCTGTCTTTTTCCTTTGCTGATCCTGTTGTGTATTCTTTCACTGTAATAAACCTTGGCCATGAATACAACTATATGTTGAGACCTTCTAGCAAATCACTGAATGTGTGGGTGGTCTTGGAGATCCCAAAACATAATCATATTACGTACATTGTCTTAATCCTCAAAACAATTCTGAAAGGTAGGTAAATATTAGTGTTTGTCTTTTATAGGTGAGGAGACTGAAGTTAGTGAGGTTTAGCAACTTCCCTAGGATCTCAGTTAATAAGTGAGAGAATCCAAATCTGTCTGACTCCAAAGTCTTGGCTCTTAACTATTATACTGCATTGTTTCTAATACCATAAACTGTGTCCGTAGTGGGTTGAAAGGAATGAATGATGATAGTGGTCTGAGAATACTTCATGCACGAGTTAGGATTTGAGTTGGTATTGAAGGGTAAGTGGGCAGGATTAAAATAGATTAAGTGGCGGGGAAAGAGTATTGTCAATTGCCTGATATTAAGGCATGCAAATGGTAAAATGCAAGATTTATTTGGGAGACAGACAATATAACAGTTGGGTGAAATGGAGGAAACGCTAGAAAGTTTTTTTCTATGCTTTTTCTTTTTTCCTTTTTTTTTTTTGAAATGAGGTCTTGTTATGTTGCCCAGGCTGCAGCCTCGAACTCCTGGGCTCATGTGATCCTCCTGCCTCAGCCTCCCAAGTAGCTGGACTACAGTCGTGTGCCACCATGCCTGGCTCCTTCCATACTTTTAAGAGAAATAAACTTCGGCAGCTGCCACAGCTTGTTATGCTAGTGTTTAGTGTAAAATAATGTATCTGATCTAACACACAATTATATTTTTAAGCTCAATAAGTGAGATACGTTTGCTTAAGGATAATAAAATAATGTATTTGTTCTGCAAAGACAATAATGATTTCCAAGGACTTTGCCACCTAAACAAGTTGAAGCTCTACTATTGTTAGCATTAAGGAATTATGTATGTATGTATATATGTATGTAGAGGAGGGAAATACTGAAACAGCATTTAACTGATACCAATCTGGTGGCAGTGTGAAGAATATATTGGTTAGAGCCAGGGAGTTAGTCCATTTAGATCATTACAATCACAGTGGTCCATGCATGAGAGATGATTAAGAGCTTAGAGAATTTTAGAAATGAAAATGGACAAAAGACACCATACAGGATGAATTGCCCTGATGTAGTGATGTACTGGATATGGTTGTGTTTGTGGGGAGATCCAAAGGATCTGAGTCTGGGTGGTTTGGAGAAAATATTGTATCTTTAACAGAAATATGACATTTAGGCAAACTGTCATGCCAGGACCATGGATGTATTGAATTGAATGATTTATTAACATCCAAGTAGAAAAGCACATTTGGAGTTAGTTGTAAAATTGGGATTGAAGAGAGAAATCAAGGTTTGAGATGAGATGGAAACATTTGCGGTGGGGTGATCACTGAAACTATCTGAATATAGGCATCACTTTGGGGGGAAAGAACAAAAAAGAGCACCAAGGACTAAACTCTGGTTTTATTCATTCCATAAATAAGAAATGAATATTAAAGAATACCTTTGAAGTTAATAAGTAATGTTACTACTACCTGTTATAAAACCACATTTGCCAAGTACTTATTTTAATGTGCATTGATCAGGCACTTTCTGGTTTGTAAACTTTAAATTAAGTGATCTTTTACAGTGATATGAGTAACTTTTATATAAAAATCAGTAAATAAATGATCCCTACCATATACAAAGCATAGTTAAGCACTGAATAACATTCAAATAGCATTTTTTCCCTTCTCATATATAGCACATTGTTCTTGGTAACTTTGGGGGTATGTATGTATGTGTGTGTGTGTGCATGTGTGTGTGTGTAGATCTTTCTGTTGCCTGCTTAGGAGTGGAATTGCCCCAGCCTCTGTTTCATTTAAATAGTTGTTTTGGTTTGTTAATTAATTTTTCCTCCATTTGTCAGCTGTTGTACCAGTAGTACAGCAGTCATCACTGACTGCCATTGAGTATTCAAGATAACTTGTTCCACCAGATTTGTGCACAAGAGTCCTAACTTTGTATTTTCCCTTAGTGTAGAAATGTTCTTAAATGAATGACATTTATACTTACCTCTCTGCAACAAATTTTTTAGAAGTAGAAGGGATTGAGCACAAAAATATTCCAAAGAGAAGTTGGGTGGGCAAAACTGCTAGCACTAATATGTTTATGTTTCTGACTATCTTCTCCTTTTAATACTACCTGCTGACATTCTTCCAGGGCAAAAACACAATCTGTAAAGGCTTCAGCTCTTAAGTCTTCCCCAACTTTATTGTGCTATTTATTCCCTCCCTGGAGTAGACAGAGAATTAGATGAATGTGCAAAGAGATAACAAGAAAAAATATTTGTATTATAGGCTGACTTGTGTGTCTTAGGATTTTAAGTCTTAGAAAAATAGGAATTGCAACAAGGTTGGTATGTCATTTTAATACATCATGGTTGCCTCAAATTAGTAATAAACATTGTTGTAAAACTCTTATATATGTGAATGTTCTGATTAATTCATTAAACTCTTTTTTTTTTTTTATGAGACAGAGTCCTACTCTGTCACCTAGGCTAGAGTGCAGTGTGGCCTGATCATAGCTCAGTATAACATTGAACGCCTGGGCTCAAGCAATCCTCCTGTCTCAGCTTCCTGAGTAGCTGTGACTACAGGCACATGCCACCATGCCCAGCTAGTTTTTAAAAATTTTTTGTAGAGATTGGGGTCTCACTGTGTTGCCCAGGCTGGTCTTGAATTCCTGGCCTCAAGTGGTCCTCCCACCTTGGCCTCCCAAAATGCTGGGATTATAAGTGTGAGCCACCACATCCGGCCCTCATTAAACTCTTCTTAAGCAATTTTCACTAATGTTTTTATTTAATATTTAATCTCCTTGAATCTAAGCTTTCAGTAGTGCAGGGTTCATAGAGAATCACAGACTATGCATAAGCAGTCATGAGATTATCATGTTCCTCCTTATTAAGTAATGTCTTCATCCAAGATTACTCCAGAACAACAGCTTTAAACCATTTCCTAGTTTATTACATCAGTTGGCATGGTATAATGGAAAGCACACTGACTTGACAATCAGCATACCTGGGTTCTAGCCCTAGCATATAACCCCAGTTGTTTACCTTCTGGGTCCCAGTTTCACTGTCTATAAAATACAATTATATTTGCTGTCCCTGTATTACAGGCCTGTTTTAAGTTTCAAAGAAGATAAAGAAAAGTACTTTGAAAATGTTAATATGGAGGATTCTAGTATTATCTTTTGAATTTTCCATATTTTTTCAGGATTAAAAAAAAGTACCATAACAAATGTACAAGAAAGTTTCACGTATTTGTTCAATCAAATCCCTGGAAATATTATTGTGCTTAAATGTCACAACTATATTTAAAATTGATTTTAGACCTACAGTGTAAGTTTTTGGCTTATAATTCAATCAGAGGAATTAGAACCCTGTGAATATTTTCTATGAGAATGATTTCATAAGCATGAATAATAGTACTAAATTATCATTATTTTATTATTTTTATTTTTTTTTTTTGAGACAGAGTCTCACTGTGTTGCCCGGGCTAGAGTGCCGTGGCGTCACCCTAGCTCACAGCAACCTCAAACGCCTGGGCTCAAGCGATCCTCCTGCCTCAGCCTCCCGAGTAGCTGGGACTACAGGCATGCGCCACCATGCCCGGCTAATTTTTTCTATATATTTTTAGTTGTCCAATTAATTTCTTTCTAATTTTAGTAGAGACGGGGTCTCGCTCTTGCTCAGGCTGGTTTCGAACTCCTGAGCTCAAACAATCCGCCCTCCTCGGCCTCCAGAGAGCTAGGATTACAGGCGTGAGCCACCGTGCCCGGCCCACTAAATTATCATTTAAAAACTTGGTGTGATGTTCAGATTAGGAAACTTTGCACTAATAAGAGTCCTGTGTAATCGATTAATTTATTTGAACATTTTATGCTCCAGAACTCACGAGGCTCATCAAATCATCTGCATCCTCATTTCCATTATTATAGATACACATTCTTTTTTAAAATCATAAACAGAAATATTGGTTAAAGAATAAAATGAGGTTCTAGTTTTCTGAAGCTTGTTGAAAGTAAGTATAATAATATTGAAGAGAGAGAGAGAGTCTTTGTCTAGACTGTAGAGTTTCAGGTCTGTAACTAGTTGTAAGAACCTGGGCATGGCAATTTACTTTTTCTGGGCGTCATTTTCCCATTATAAAACAAGTGGTTTGCACTAGACCACTAAGGTTCTTTCCTTTATTAACGTTCTGTGATTCTTTTTTTAACGCTTCTAAGCATCTAAGGAAGCTGATGAAAAAATTAGAGTTTATACTAATTTTGGGAGATCCTACTTATTATACTTGATTTATACCTAAGGTAACCATATAATTTGCTGTCCCAATAAGAGGAAACTTTTGAGATTAAAAGGGAATACTGTGTGTGAGTAACTCCAGGACACCAGCTTTAAACCAGGAATATCCCAGGTAAACTAGAATGTCTGGTCACCCTAATCTGTATCCCATGTGTGGTTCTGTTAACTGCATTGTTGGCCAAAGAAGAGTTATCGATTTATCAGTTATAATTCCTTTTCATGGTTTCCCTGTTTTTTCTTATAGATCCACTGTGCGTGGAGAGTAATGCAACAGCATGCCAGCAATCTCCAGCCACTAAAAAAGGGATGTTCACAGATGATTTACACAAGCTGGTGGATGACTGGACAAAGGAAGCAGTAGGAAATTCTCTTATTAAGCCAAGTTTAAACCAACTTAAACAGAGTCAACACAAATTAGAGACAGAAAACTGGAACAAAGTATATGAAGTAAGTTGTTTATGAGAACTAAAGCCATAAAACTGTGAGAAAGTGGTGTGACTTGATAACATAGGGACTTTTATCTTTGTCTAGATTCATTATGTCTTTCAGCAGATTATCTTTTAGACCTGGGGTCAGTAAACTTTTTCTAGGAAGGGACCAGTTAATAAATATTTTAGGCTTTTCAAGACATAGGATTACAACTACTCAAATCCATTGTAGTGCAAAAGCAGCCATAGACGATATGTAAACAAATGGTGTGGCTTTGTTCCATAAAACTTGACTTACAAAAAGAGGTGGCAGACCATAGTTTGCTTACCCTGTTTTAGACTATTCTAGCTTTAAAAAAAAAAAATACATCAAATATCAAAGAAGAAAGCATCTGGAGTGAGGGTTAATTCAATCCTGTGGTGCAAGAAGAGTTTGGGTTTTGAGGAAAAGCTATCCTATGTTGTACATTGGTATTGTTACAGCCAATAAGTTATCTAATTTGTTCAGTATGAAAAAGAATTTTAAAGCTCTTTAAGCTAGAATATTATAAGAGGTATCTTAAGTTTATGTACAAGATGCTTAGTTATTGCATGTGGCAATTGAAATGTAGAAACATGTCCACAATGCATTCTAGAGTGGGAAGAAGGCAGGTTTATGAAACAGCATACATAATATAATTTATGCAAAATTTTATATATTAGATATGTTTATATGCATAGACAAATATGAAAAGCCACAAAAAATATGCTGGATGGTGGAATTTGGGCCTTATTTCATTTTGTACTTTTCTGTGTTTTAATTTTTAAAGTAAGTGACATTTTTTCAAAATGAGTGAACCAATTAAAATGTGAATCAGGGCTTAGAATCTTAACCCTCATAATTGAAAGAGCTGTATCTCTATGTATGTGTGTCATGTTTGTGTACATACATGTGTGTACATATATAGTGATTGAATATAGTTTGGTAAAGTCCAATAGTACATTTATTATTAATATTGAATAAAAATGTTCAAAATCCTAGATTTCCCAAACTAATAACCAGTGTATCTCCTTGGGGGTTCCATGTATTTATCTTACTGCTGGCATCAGTTTATACACAGATAGTATCACCATTGTAAAAATTGGAAGCCTTTACAGGCAAATTTCAAATATAAATGTATTTGTATTGCCAGTGGGAGACCCTCTGAGTACTGTGTGAATGGAGGCTTTTGTTGACTAGTTGAGGGTGGTTTATTGCAGTGTAATGGAGGATGTTTGGAGGAAGGGCCAGTAGAAAATGATGTGTGAACAAAAGTAGTGAAGTTCATTTAACAGACTTGGGTTCCAATCTCAGCTTAGTCATTTACTAGCTGTGTGACTTTAGATAAGTCATTTGATCTCTCTGTGCCTCAGTTTTCATGTCTTTCAAACAGGAATAATACCTGCCTTGCAAGATTGCCGTGAGGATTAAATGAGCTAGCACCTATAAAGCTGTACCTTTACAGGTGTTACATAGTAGGTACCCTATATATAGTAACTATTTTTTGTATTTTTAGGTTTAGTTTATTATATCTTTGTGTAGACAGCCCATTGCACTAATATTCTTCCATGTTACTGTTCTGTAGCCTTACTTAGAAATACTCGTTTGCACAACATTTATGTACCAAGCCCTTTACTGTGTACTAAGCTCTCTGCCAGGAGTTCAAGACCAGCCTATGTTGCTCACTATGAGCAACATAGTGAGACCCCCATCTCTACAAAAAATACAAAAAGTAGCCAGACATGGTGGCATGCATCTGTAGTCCCAGATCCTCTGGAGGCTGAGGCAGGAGGATCACTTGAACCCAGGAGTTTGAGGTTGTAGTGAACTATGATGATGCCCCTGCACTCTGGCCTGGGCAACAGGCAATGTAAAAAAAACATAAAAATAAATAAAAAATATTCTTAGAAAAGAAAGTGATGATTGAGCAGAGATCTGAAAGATGAGTAGGTGTTAACTAGGTAAAAAGAGGAGGGAATATGATTCCATGCAAAAAGAATAGCATATGCAAAGGAAAGCCCTGTATGAGGAAAGGAGCATGAAGGGACTGAAAGTTCGCCAGTTTGGCAGAAGTAAAGAGTACCGAGTTGGTACACAATGAATCTAAGGAGGTAGATAAGGTGTTAAAAGTGGTGATGATAAGGAACTTTGTCTCTAAATTAAGAAAGATGGATAGCGATTGAAGCCCTAGGGTTGACATGATCAGATATATTTTTTTGAAAAGATCACTGAAGCAAGAGGAAAGCATTATTGGGGGTAAGGACAGATGTTGGCAGACCAATTAAGAATTAGTCACAGTAGTCTAGATAAAGGGAAGTTGAGTTGAAGAGAAGTGAACAGATTCCAAAAAATATTTGAGAGAGAAAATGGACACGATTTGGTGACAGAATGAATGTATAGCAGATGGGAGGTATCAAGGCTGGGTTTCTAGCTTGTATAACTAGATACCATTCCAGTGGATGAATCCCTGAAATGGGGAGCATAGGCAGTGTGCTTTGGTAGGGGAAGATTGCACATTTGGTTTGGGCCATTTTGAATCTGAGATGCCTTTGAAATATCCAAGAAAAGATTTATAACCTCTCCAATTTGTCTTTTTTAAAAAATAAAATTGTGTTACTGTTTGTAAACCGGTAATGTTTATTATAGTATTTAACCAATACAGAAAAGTACAAATTTTAAAATACCACCTTCAAATCCTACCACCCAGAAATAATTTTCATTAACTTTAGGTAAACATGATTTCAGATAGCTTTCTATGTATGCATGGAAATAACTTTATTAAAATGCTATCATACTCTATGTGCTATTTTGAATCAGAAATATTACATTTAATTTTACTTTAACAGAAAGAAAACACTGATATGAAGAAGGGATTGCTGAATTTTAAATAAATGTTTTTTTACCTCAAGAGATATTATCATTCATTCTTCAGTCAAACTAAAAACCTTTACCCTAAGTTGAAAATTTTTAACTAAAGATTAGTTGAAACTTTAAAGTTTAGTTTTTAGCTAAGTGTATTTGAAAGTTTAGTTTTAGCTTGAGAAGTCAATTTAGAAGAACTAAGCATTTGGGATTGACACCAAGCTCTCCTTTATTCTAATGCTCTCCCAACCGAGCCATTTCTGCTGCCTCCAAGCTCTCCTTTAAACGAGGATTACTCTCATTGGACTTCTTATTCCCATGCACATAAGATTTCAGTAATCTCTATACATATGAATAATTATAATACAATATGATAAGAAGAGTCAGGCAGGAATATATTTTCTCAATACTGCCAAAAACATAATTATCTCATCTTGAGTTTAAATTTCCAAGAAAATAACATAAATGTGAGACTTTAAGATAGTGAATAGAAGGGGGTACAAAGGGGACATTTATTGAGCACCTGCTATATGCCATGTTCTTTCCCCTATACCACACTAAATCATGCTCCTTTGTTTCCAAAGAATTATGTACTAAGATGGCTATTCTTGTCTATAGCACTGTATGAGAGAATGCTGACAGAAGGAAATAAAAATAGAAGTGTAGTGCTAGCATAGGAAAGGAGGGACTAAAAATGTGAATAGGGATTTAGTATAGGCTTTGGAATTAGCTAGAACTGTGTTCAAATCCCCACCTCACTATTAACTTGCTTAGGAGTATTGGGTGAGTTACCAATTTTGAGCTTCTGTTTCCTCATCTGAAAAATGCCTACCCTGCAAGGCAGGGCAGTTATGAAGATGAAATGAAATAAGGTATATAACCATGCTTAGCACACAAAAAGGTACTCCAAAACTGGTAGCTACGCATAATGGGAATAGTAAGCCAAAAAGAATAGGAAGGAATATAGACTGGTAAAAGCATATACCAAATAAACTGATCTTTTGTTTTTATTTTTGTTTTTGTTAGAATACTTCATCTACTATGGGCTACACATCAACATGGATTTCTTCTCTGTCCCAAATCCGTGGAGCTGTCCCAACTTCCTTACCACAAGGACTCTCACTCCCTTCATTTCCTGGGCCATTATCATCATATGGAATGCCCCATGTTTGTCAGTATAATGCTGTGGGGGGGACAGGGTATCCAGTACAGTGGGTAGGAATTTCAGGAACAACACAACAGTCTGTAGTAATTCCTACCCAATCTGGGGGACCATTCCAGCCGGGGATGAGTTTGCAGGCATTTCCAACTTCACCAGTGCAGAATCCAGCCACAATCCCTCCTGGTCCCAAATGAATCAGAGTAGATGATGAAGAAAAGGGAGAATTTTTTCAGAATTATTTTCAGGACACCTAAGACATTAAAGTTTCTTCTTCTTGGGTTCTGCCATATTTTCCCTCATTCGAGTTTACCTTAGACTGTAATTTTTGTTGTTTCAATGTGGTATTTGGTACAGCTCATCATTCTGTAGAAATGTGCAGTTTACACATAGAACACTGCACACAGAAATGTTTTTTCACTTTGAATCCTATCCTCTTTGATACTTGATTTTTAAAAAATGCCATTCAGAATGCTTTAATAAGCTCTGCTTGAGCATTACCATTTCCAGGACACTTTCCATGTGTTGCTGAGAAGCCCCCGCCTTTTTTTTAACTGCTGCTGTCTGCAGCTGGATGATACTTTTCTTTAAAATGTGTAAAAATTTAGATTGATTCTCCTGAAACGTGGATGAAGTGAGACCCTCCAACAGCCAGAGTCTTGGGATTCTTCACATCTTTATCTTCAGTTTACCTTTCACAGAAGGCAGGGTAATGTGCTGCAGGAAACGTTCTGGTGTATAAGATTAGAATAACTTTGTCAACCAATACAGAACATGAGCCTATTTTAATGTGATTTTCTTTCCGTCATCACAGCAGTAGGAGTGAAGTCTTGTTTTGGGTGAGGGGGGGTGGGTAAGGAAAAAACAGAACTGTAACAGTTCCCTGATTCTGCAGATACCGTAGCTGCTGTAGGATTTCCGTAATAATTCAAAGCAGCTATATTCTTGTTTCTCACATGTACACTACATTGGTTTTGAGCATCTGAGAGACATTGGTTTGGCTTGCATTCTTTTGCAAGGGATATATTGCAGCTGATATGCATCTCATTTGGGGGGAATCCTCGTATTCCTAACAAAGGGGATTCAAATTACACCCCAGTCTGTTCTTCTGAAGTGAAATTTACTTGACACAGTAGGTTTTGTAGGTTTTGAGACTTACACATGAAACACTGGCTTTACAGGGTTCTAAGACATGTAGGGTATACACTGCCCTGCAGTGAGATAGTAGACCCTAGAAGGATACTATTTAAGTTACCCTTAGCTTTTTTTGGATTACCATTTTTTAGTTATAGTTTCTTTTTAGTATCTATAGTGTCTTAGATGATTTTAGATCTTAGATGAGTTTGGCAGCCTCTTTAGAATCTGACAGAGATCACTGTCAAGTTGCACTTTACTGGGTTTTATCCAGTTTTAGGAGGAGGGGAGGCAATGTCAAAATGTTCACCTTTGGTTTTTAAGAAGGTTAAATATAATACTCTGAAAGGCTGGTCACAGGGTTACCTAATGCTCAGTCTGTGAAACCCAAATAGAAATCTTAAATGGTATTTATCAACTACCAAGTATATATGTTCAAACTACTTACCTTCCACTCTGAAGATTTCAAGGTTGTTTCTGGTACACATTTACCTAATTAGTAGTTCTGTCTACCGGTAAACATTCCAAATCATCAGCTAATGTTTCTTTTAACATATTTTCTTTCATAGTCCTTAAAAATTGTACCCCATGGGCTTGCCAGGTAATGAGGAAAACTTAATGGGTGTACTTCTTCTTCCTCTTTTTTTTTTTTTGGCACAGTCTACTTTGTGACATTAAGTACCCCTTTTCAAAAAAAAGTGTCTTATATTGCTTACCTGAGGATCACACCCACTATCATGGAGATTCTGTCTCTATCATTTGGGGCATCTAGGGCAGCATTTTAAGAATTGCTGTTGCTAAGATCCACAGTTTCTTTTCATAGAACATACTCTGTTTTGGACGAGTCTTTCCAAATCTTATGTACAGATTCTTCAAATTTCTTCTTCAGTATTGGTTTGCAAGTTGAAGTGATTTTAGGACATTAGTGTAATGCAAATGCTTGCATTGCAGTGTTTTCCGTGTGTACAAAAACGATTCTCCTAAAATCCGTAATTCTTTAAAACTGCTCGTGTTTCATTATAACAGTTGGCTTTGTGTAATTACATTGAGACATATAACCTATAAAGTGAAAATACTGCAGGTTTTAAGACCCCTTCTTCTCTAGTCACAATCTTTTTAAACAGTGTACCCCAGGATGAAAAAAGCTCCATGGACAACATGTACAATTACATTTATGAATGGCTGCTCTATATCATATGTCCTGCATTTTGCTATCACCTCTGTTTTACATGTAATTCATCATTCTTGTTTGCCTGCAGACTTTTGCAGTGCCTTGTAATATTTACAATCTTTTCAGGTTTTTGCTGGAAAGAAAAGTAGTCTTCTAAAGTTTGAAGATGGTGAATAGTGTACTGCTGTCTCCATGCTGACTGCAGTAGCTGGGTTAACATATATGTTATGTATACATTATGTATATGTAACGTGTATAAGTTTAAAAATACAGAAAAAGTGAGTTTTGCAGAAATGAAGAAAACAATGTTATTCTCATCACTGTGGGTTTTTAAATTGTTTTTTCCCATTACTTAAATGTTTGATTCAGATTATAGTCACTTTGTAAATATTGGCTAGTTTTCTATCTAGGGGTTTTGCATTATTTCATAATTTTGCTAAATCATATAATAGTGCTGTTTTCATCCTTGCCTAAGGTACTTTTCCTCCCCAGAAATAATTAACTCTTAAGGTAAAGCTCAGAAATTCCCTTCTTACTTAACAAAGAGCCTACTATATAAAAAGGGCCTTCTACCCATTTCCAAAACACACACAAACCTGTCCTTTTCATTTTCCTTCTTGTAGAGGAGAAAAAGGTTGTATTTAACCATCCTGCTTGTAAAGTTTATTTGGGGGATAGTCTGTATGTCCAGCCACCATGTTTACTTCTCAAAGTGCAAGTCTGATGAATAGTACTGTATCTCCATATGTGGCAATGTGAGCATTTCATCATGAAGTACCTGCTGCTATGTCTGTGAAGTTGGGTGTAACATCATAAGAATATGAAACCAGTATTGGTGTAAATCTAATGAAAATAACCCTATGTATATTTGTAGCAGTCTTGAATCTCTATTTAAGGTAATTTGCTGTAATATAACAAATATCCATTCTGTTTTTCATCCTTTCCTTGCCAGTTTTATATCAAGCATGAATTCTAATGGTTTGACAGCAAAATTATCTGTGAAAGTTTAAAAGGCACTTTTCTGCTGTGATTTTTTGATTGAGTGTGGAGTGTTATGTACAGTATGATGGGATGTATCATTTTAGAACCCCAGGTTTAATTCCAGTCCAATTACTTTTGTTTATCTACCTCGTTTTCAGTGCTGTTTTGGGTGCAGAAGTAAACACTGCCTGTGAAACTTGCTTTTTTGCCTTGATTCTCAGTATTCTTTCAGATTATAAATCTGGCCTGCCTCTTTGTCCCAGTGTTAACCATGAGTTTCAGATGAGAGGGACCATCACTCTGCCACCAATCTGTGTTTAAGTGATTAGAGCCATGTGCCTCTGTGAAATAAGCTTTGGGGATTTAGGGATGGGGAGCAGAGAAATAAATCCAACTGGTGGCAATATAGGACTTAGTTGCAGCAGTTAGTTGTAAAATAAACAAATGGTAAGAAAGTACCTGAATCAGACAGTCCAGTGCCTATAATTTTGCATTTTTAATAGAGATGCATTTCTCATCTGTGTGCCTAAAGGGCTATGGTTGAAATTGCTTTAACTACCACAGTAAAATATTTGACAAATCCTTCAGCAATGGCCTGTCATTCAACATATTAGCATACTGCTAGGTATTTGTAGTGATATTTTGTTACCTTAAAATGGCCAAATGCATTTAGTTGAATTGTAGTTGATGGCAAGGGCTTTATATAACTGTTTATCTAATCTTTAAAGTTTATGGAGGCATTGACTTTCTTCTTTGCTGTTTTTTCTGATGAAAATGATTCATTCCCTTTTTCCCCATGAAAACTCAGCAGATGTTTGTAACCAGAAGTTCCTTGTTTCACATGTTTACTGTGTAATACTACAGCATATTTAATATTCATAAATACTGTATTTCAGTCATCATGCATAAGTACCTTCCTGAGGTATATTTGCTGTCACTTTGGGATTCAGTTACTTCATCTCTGGTTCAGAAAAACTTGAGCTATTTGAGGTGGTATACAGGCCATTTTCTAGAATAGATTTTTTTTTTTGAATCTGTGGTTTATTGAGGACATGTTTTCCCCCACTTCATTTAGAAGAGGAACCAGAAAGGGGGGGCATGTAGAAAAGGCCTTTGATTTGATAAGTGTTATTTCTAGGATTGAAATTTTTTTGAAAAAAACAATCCAGATTGTAAAATGGTGACACTCAAACTTGGTAAAATCCTTTGAAGTGAGATTAGTATGAAATTTCTATGGAGCCAAATGCTTTCAAGGTCACCCTGGAAATAGTCTTTGTATGTGAAGGATGAACACAAACATTGGTCAGGGATCTTGACAGCCAACATAGGAAGGAGTCTGGGATAGTAACCAGGTTACACTAAAGTTATTTTCAACTGAGACAGCTGGAAGAGTATACAAACCAAGAGCTCCCATTCTGGAAAGTTTTCTTTTAATTAAAAAAAAAAAAACTCAAGCAAAAAGGCGCTAAAAGTCAAGCAAGAAGGGAAGAGAGAAACTGGGCTCTGAGAAAAAAAAATGTGCCAGTGTAAAATGAACTCCTAAATGCGTGCTTGTCATCCTGTAGTTTTTTTTGTTTTTTTTTAAGTTGCATTTCTTTTCCACTGTTGCTTAAGATTTGAGGTTGAGGTTTGTGGTACAGAACATACCCTCAGCGGATACAGTGATTAATCGGAAAGTGCAGTTGGTCAAGGTCTGTCATGCTCAATCACCTAAAGCAGTAATTTGTTTGATATGAATATTAAGCATGTAGACCTAGAGTAGCATGGAAGCCACTCAGGAAGTTTATGCAATTAATAAACTTTCTTGCATAATTTACTATGAAGTATGCAGAATTTCAGCCACTTCTCTACACTTAACATTTAGTTGTATATGTGAACTCTCCCTTCTTAATTGGGGAATGTAGCATTATATAGAATGTTGTTAAACTTAATTTTAATCTTTTTTGACATTCTTTTTCTTTTTCTTCTTTTTTTTTTTTTGTAAACCAAGTGAT